TTTGACACTTCTCTGGCCATTATCTCCGTAACCGTTCAACTTTGGACATAGGTGTTTTGGGTTATATCGGCATACTTTAACATAAGGAACACCCTCCCGAAGTTTGGCACATTCCTCCTGGGACACCCTGTATATGGTTACTGGGTAACAATTTATCAGATGTCATTCTACCTAGAAACAAAATCACGTAGACTACCTGTTGGAGAGTGTGTAGGAGGAAATGGTCGTGACCAGCCATGTCAACAGAAACTCAATTAATTCACGAAAAAATAAACACAAGCATATAGCACCGCACTGGGTTCGATCGGAGTAGTGTTGGCTTGGAAGGCAGCAGCGTCAGTAGCGGGGCATTCGAACTCTGTGGTTGTTGTACCTCTGTGCACCATAAAGCTAACGAGCTTAAGTTTCATGTTTGCTTGAGAACACAAAATTAGTTTCCATAACTGATATTTTTATAATAATTCACTGTTCCCTCGCAAACCGATGTAACTGCAGTCAGTTTAGACTTGGCGCTGTTACGTCACTGTTGCTAGAAACATGGCAGACGTAAGGCTTCATTATGTTCACGAAAGTGCCAAAACCTCAAATCCAAAATGGCTGCAGACGAGTTCAATCAGACCTCCATGTTTATATATCTGCTACTAAATTACGAATTATGAAGTTTCTGGAGAGCAGGAAATTTCGAGCGACTCTAAAATGTTACAAATATATACCTAAGAACTTCTAAATACGTCCGCTCTTTTATAATACTCAAAATATTAATCACTTTTTTCTTAAAAAATTACCCCGAGAATTTACACCAAATTTTCACGTAACTTTTTATGATAATTATCTCTGGCAAACTGTAATTATGCACATGTTAACCATGATATATGCAATTTCAATCGAAATGAAAATACTAACATTTATAAAATTGCTATATATAAGTGAAATGAACACTGTAATATTCTGAGACAACGTCACTTCGGAAAGTACCATAAACTGTTCGCCAAGCAAACTACAGGGGATGGACAAAAATATGGAAACACCTCGTGAAATGCATGCCTGAATTGAAGTGTTTATTTTAGCGACGTTTGTAGGTGACGCTGCCGTATCTGCCCAACACCACTACCTGTAAAACCTCCGTAATTCGTTGCAAGCTTCAATTGTTGTCAGTACAGTGTTCTGCGCAGTTTTTTGTGCATCACGTCAGAGCTAACAGAATTCGAACGCGGGCAAATTGTTGGGGCCCATATGGTGGGTGCTTCCGTAACCAAGGTAGCGAAGGTTTTGGTGTTTCGCGAGGTACAGTATCCAAGATTATGACCGCATACAGGAGGACTGGAAAACCCGCATCCGATAAACACCAGAGTGGACGGAAATGCGTGTTGAGTGATCGAGACAGACGAACATTGCGTAGGATTGTGACGAAAAATAAGAAGACTACAGCTGCAAAAGTGACTGCTGAACTGAATGTCACGCTCACAAACCCTGTCAGCACCAAAACAGTACGCAGGGAACTCCACAAGCAGGGTATTTCTGGAAATGCTGCGATTCCAAAGTCACTCATCAGTGATCAAAATGCCACTAAGAGGACAGTGTGATGCCGAAGTCATAAAACCTGGACTATGGAGCAATGGAAGACGGTCATTTGGTCGGATGAGTCCACCTTCACACTGTTTCCGACTTCTGGCCGAGTTTACGTCTGGAGAACGCCATCCCAAGCTTACGATCCAGATTGTTTGCTGCCAAGAGTGAAACTTGGCGGGGGTTCGATCATGGTATGGGCAGCCATATCGTGGTATTCTGTCGGACCCATCATTACCCTGCAAGGTCACGTCACTGCCAACGACTATGTGACCATTTTGGGCTACCAGGTCCATCCCATGGTGCAAACTTTGTTGCCTAAAGGTGACGCCATTTACCAAGACGACAATGCCCGTGTTCACATAGTTCACATCGTCCAGGACTGGCTTTCTGAGCGCGAAGATAAAGTGTCACGTCTGCCATGGCCCCCACAATCGCCAGATATCAATATTATTGAGCCTTTGTGGTCTGTTTTGGAGAGCAATCTGCGTGCGCGCTATCCACCTCCGTCATCATTAACAGAACTTGCCAATGTTTTGCAGGAATAGTGGTACAAGACTCCCTTGCAAATCATACAGGATCTCTATTTATCCATTTCAAGGAGACTGCAAGCCAGAGGTTGGCCTACTCCAGATTAGTCACGGTGATGTGTTCTTTGTTGGGTTTTTCCATATTTGTTTCCATCCACTGTACTTCAACGTGGTTTCTCCACTTTTCAACACCGAATTCAATTAATATGAATTAATATAAAGCCATACATACTTTCTAATCCTCTACGGTACTGCAGTCTGCTGTACCACACAAAGTATGTAGTTTCAGATAAGTATCACTGGACATGCGAGTCCCACCTTCCCCCTTTCGCGATCAGCGACCCTCTGACGCGCTCTGATGTAACCGAATGACCAAGTTCAGTGAACAGGGGATGAATAAGAGCAGTTATTCGACACTTACATTCAGCGACGGATCCAGTAAAACGCTTACATATTATGTTCCAAACAAAAAATAACAGCATATAGACAGACATCCCTAAATTCTTGGCGAAATACCGTTTCTTTTATAATTTAAAACTGAATAAATATGTAATTATAACATCGTCGAAATGTTGCTTGCTTACGAAACCTCACATTTATCACAGAGTGAAGAACACGGTCATTTTACAGGTGCATAAGAAAATCTTTGAACATAACAGAGAAAAGCAACATATTGCCTCTCTGATTATGCTCTCAAGCTGAAATACTCAAGTACAAGTGGCAACATAGTCCATTCGGCGTATTAACTCTATGCTGTGATCATGTATGATGGCATGGAGGTTACGATCCAGTCATTCGATACCCCGAGTGTGATAGGAAGCTCGTGGTGGAACTGAAATAAGAGGGAAGATATTAGCTGTTGTCTAGTTCTGTTAGGTTATTTATGTACCGGTTGTGATGGACTCGACATGTAGTTTAATTCAAAACACATGTAGCCGTGGTCATGACTCATTTTAAGGCAGAATTCCTGTTTCTGCCTGAAGCGACCGAGGAAAATCACGTCAGCATGACAGACTTTCTGGCCGAAATTCAAACCAGCGATCTCCGTCCACTTTCTACTCAGCTGCCAGACACAGACTCCTAGTCACTGTCAGAGTTTCCGGGGTTCGAACTCCGCTGTGGACAGATGATGTGTCTATTCACTGTGCCTGGCTGGTAAGCTGATTTTCCACACCAGACCTCAAGCTGCCTCCCAGACACTCAACAGGTAGAAAACCATTACAACATACTGAAAAGTAAAACAAATGACCCTCTATAAAAATAATTACATCCAAAGGACACGTTCCAAATTTCTAAAGCAGAGCGCCCACAGGATCACTGTTGGGCAGAGCCAGCGAAAGAAATCATAATGCCTGGCATGTATCTTGTGAAGTTCACATTGCTTCACTACATCTACATGGCCAAGGCTGAACTCAAACAATTCTCTTTCTAGTTTTAAATCTCATCAGCGGTAACATCTGACAGACATTAACTGTCTTCTGCTTCTTTGCATCCTGCTGCGTTACTTACACAGTTTAACACCCAGAACTCATAAGTGCATGTATGTAGGGTACTTCGGAAATTTATCAAATACATGTTCTAGTTCTTTGTAGAACATGTCCTTTATATCACCAATTTTATCTTCTGTTGGGGCGTGAAACATTCATAACGAAATCAACTAACATGTATATTCGCCTATTGGTTCGATGACACCTACGTCCCATCTGACGTCCTGTACTCCCATCAAATGTAACTTATACACGTATTTTGAGATTTCTTCCGCCAGTGCCCGGAGTGAACCTGCCCTATACATACGTGTATTTCTAGCATTCCAAGTACCGAATCTCATATCCATTTTCTTTAACCTAGGTCGTTTACCCAGAGGAACCGTCCAGGTCCGAGGCTTTGTGTTCACTTTCGTAACATTATTGTTTTTTACGGGGAGGAGTTGTTAGCCCCACGCCCAACCCCAAAGCCCCAGGACCACCACTTGTCGGCTCTCCGTGGCTGCTTATTCAATATATTCGCAGCTTCCCCCCGAGGACAATATAAAACAGTTATAACATCAACAGAATTTACCAATAGGATATTTACAGGGATATTGCTAAAGTCATTAATATTCCTTTCCAGAAGTGAAGTTGCTTAGCGCCTAATTTACAGAAAAAAAATCGCCTCCAACAGAGCTTGTGTAGTATATCCTAAAAGAATTTACACAAAATATTTGTCCAGACATACGAACACAAGTAAATTGCCCAGCTGAGATTTGGAACCGAATTTAGGAAATAAACTGACTTAAATTTGTATTTAGGTTTCCTTGGCGTTTTATATTTAGGCTGTGGCCGTATGGATTGTGAGGCCTTGTAGTTCACCATAGTTACCGCCTAATTGGGGCCGCCCCATAGCTCAAGCAGCTAGTCGCTGGCTTCCCACCGCGGCGGCCCGGCTTCGATCCCGGGCCTGGTCAAGTGGAATTTGTGGTGGACAAAGTGGCGCCGGGGCAGGTTTTCTCCGAGTAATTCGGTTTCCCCTGCCAATCGTCATTCCACCAGTTGCTCCACAATCTGGGGCTGGTACAGTAGGCCAGAAGTGGCCGCAGTACAAGGGACTTAGTCCCACCGCACTAGCAATAAAGCAAAATACCGCCCATGTGACTACACCGCGTCATAGCCCGGAAGATCACAATCTTAAAATGTATTTCTTCAAGAAATCGGAGACCTGGAGGATATTTGTAACAGTGATAAAGTGAAGTGTTTTTTTCCTCGATTCACGTGACTTGAACGCCATTAGTTCATCGCCCTGCGTTAATATCGCTGGAGAAGTGGTGAGTAGGAGGCGAAGTTCGAGAGAGAGGAGTGTGCGCGCTGTGCATGAAGGCCACACGTGCATTCTCATTCTGTTGTGAATCCCAGAAGGGACAGATAGTGCGAGCTCCCGCCGTAAGCAGACAAATACGGCATCATCATGCAGAACACTGCCTTCGCTTCTACATAGCTGTGCTTCGGTTTAAATTCTTCGCCTCTGTCGACAGATGGCCGGAAGGGTGGGCGAGTCGTTAAAACAATGGCTAGTCTGTCTCCTCCCGACCCACTTGATATGTCTGTTGTACACACTCAGATACCGTATAACCATACCGTTAATGTGAAAGACATGTTTCGAAGACGTAAAACTCCTCATTCACGGAAGGTTAACAGGACAGTTGAAAGTAATTTAGAGCGTTGATCTTCAGTGTTGCTTTTTGAGATTTACTATCCGAGTGTTTTTCTCGACTTATCAAACATGTTGAAAGTTCTGTGGCAGCAGTATGACCGTGGGCGGTGTTCCCAGTGCTGACAAGTAACAAGCAAGTGAATGCATGCACCCTAACAACATGTGAAGGCGCAGCTCTGAGAAATGTTAACAGCCATGTAATGTGAAAAGGCCCTGCCCACTCATATGGCTTTCAGCCTCCTCCGGTTCTGTCAGCTGACTCTACAATGGTGTCGCCACACTTTCGAAATGGGGTGAGTTGTATTGCTATTGCCACGTGCATCTTACTAGGTTACATGCTGATTTCTCATTTTCTTACTTTGGTCACGTGATTACAGGTATCTTTCTTTTGTTTCTAACACATACGGAGACGAGGATAGTTCCTGCAACCCATGCTATGATAGAAGTGGCGTTATTTGACGCAAGGACAAACATTGAACTCGAAATTGCAGTTGCATAGTTGAGAAGTTATAAATTGCCAGGTAGTTATCAAATTCCGGCAGAACTGATTGAAGCAGAAGAAGAAATATTACGTTCTCACATCCATAATCTATTCAATTCTATTTGGCATAAGGAAAAATTGCCTGATCAGTGGAAGGAGTCTATTATTGTACCAGTTCATAAGAAAGGTGATAAAGCTGACTGTAGTAATTATAGGGGGATATCACTGCTACCAACTTCATACAAAATTCTATCCAATATTCGTCTCTCAAGGTTAAGTCCATGTATACATGAAATTATTGGGGATCATCACTGTGGGTTTCGACGGAACAGATCAACTACCGATCAGATCTTTTGCATTCGTCAGATAATGGAGAAAAATGGGAGTACGATGAGACAGTACATCAGCTATTCATAGACTTCAAGAAAGGCTATAATTCAGTTAGGAGGGAAGTACTGTACAGTATTCTGATAGAGTTTGGGATACCCATGAAACTAGTTAAGGTTAATTAAAATGTGTTTAAACGAAACGTATAGTAAAGTCCGTGTAGGTAAACATTTGTCTGATAAATTTCCTATCCAGAATGTTCTCAAACAAGGAGATGCTTTATCGCCACTCCTTTTCAACTTTGCCTTAGAATATGCCATTAGGAAGGTCCAGGGAAACCAGGTGGGACTGAAATTAAACGGGACACATCAGCTGCTGGTCTATGCCCATGATCTGAATCTACTGGATGATAATGTAGATACCATAAAGAGAAGCACACAGACTTTAATTGATGCAAGTAAGGAGGTTGGTCTAGAAGTAGACACAGGGAAAACTAAGTATATGTTGCTGTCTCGTCACCAAAATGCAGGGAAAAATCATGACATAAAAATAGCTAACAGATGTTTTGAAATGTGGCACAGTTCAGATATTTGGGAACGATTATAACAAATCAAATCCTGATTCAGGAGGAAATTAAGCGGAGACTGAACTCGGGTACCATTCAGTCCAGAACCTTTTGTCTTCTCGTCTGTTGCCTTAAAACATAAAAATTAGAATATACAAAACTATAATTTTGCATGTGGTTCTGTATGGGTGTGAAACTTGAGGGAGGAACATAGACTGAGGGTGTTTGAGAACAGGGTGTTCAGGAGAATATTTGGACTGAAGAGGGATGAAGCAACAGTAGTTTGGAGAAAACTGCATAATGAGGTGTTTCCTAACTTGTACTCTTCGCCCAGTAGAATTAGAATGGACAGGGTGTGTAGCACGAATGGAGGAGAAGAAGAATGCATATAGGATATTGGTAGGAAAGCCAGAAGGAAAGAGACCGCTAGGAAGACCAAGACGTAGGTGGGTGGACAATATTAAAATGGATCTTAGAGGTATAAGATGGAATGGTGTGGATTGCATTGATCTGACTGAGGATAGGGACCAGTGGAGGGCTCTCGTGACACGGTAATAAAACTTCGGTATCGTTTTCTCAATTAATGTCGAACTATGTAATTTGGAAAAAAAAAATTGTTGGCTTTGACCTCATTGAGGCTTAGTTTTAATGAACGTAAGTCAGGAGTGCTGCGTGAGAAATGAACAGTATCATCTTGGAATTTAGCAACAATCCCAGCCTCTGCTTGAAGATAAAGGAAAACCAAGGACCTTTCACAGGACCCTCCGGATGCATACTGACTTCTGGCCAACAGTCCGGGGAGCAAAGGATTATGGGAGAGTCCCTACCGTATGTTGTCTTGCTCTATACTGGTCACTGCATTCAATCTTAAGAACAAATTAATTGGTTATTTGTAATTTATATAACATATTGTCACGTGCAAGTGGTTAGCGTGACGAATAATAGTGGGTTATGAATTCAATGACTGGATTTATTTACACTTGTCTACAATTAGAGTCAATTATAACAGAGCATATATTGAACTCCTTCTGAACGACGTCGCCTGGCGAATCCCTCACGTCTTATATGAATCTCTCCAATTCACGAATGAACTCCCTTTTATAACTGCCACGGGGCCCGTATATAAGTCATGTCGAAAATTTAATTATCATCTGTTGTTCTGTTTGCTGTCATGGGAATGCCTTTAATAATATACATCGACGAGGAAACAGGTGTTTTCGTGCCGTTGCCTAGCAAATTAACTTCCGCTTCTGCTGTATTCCAGCTTTCAGGCCGAGTTTACTTAGCCATGTGTTTTCCGTCACAATATAAAAGAACAGTACATATTTATGGCGTACCTTTAGTTTCCATATAAGGCCACGCCATAGCTCAGGCGGTTAGTCGCTGGCTTCCCACCGCGGCGGTCCGGGTTCGATCCCGGGTGTGGCCAAGTGGGATTTGTGGTGGATAAAGTGGCGCTGGGGCAGGTTTTCTCCGAGTACTTCGGTTTCTCCTGCCAATCTTCATTCCACCAATTGCTCCACAGTCACCCTCACCTATCATCTGGGGCTGGTACAATAGGCCAGAAGTGGCCGCAGTACAAGGGACTTAGTCCCACCTTACTAGCAATAAAAAAAATAGTTTCCATATCTCTAGGGTCGGGTAAATTGCTACCATATCGGTATCCAGGAGGCCAGTTATGACCTATCCCAGCGTACACCGTGTATGATCCAAATTCATGTTGTTAGTCCCTGGTCATTCCTCACTAATTTATAGACTTCTGAATCCTGCCCTTATTTAATATGAATGTGTTATGTACTGAGCAACGGAGTATGTGTTGTCGCGTGAAAGGAAAGGGGATGTTGTATTTATGACTGAACGGAGGGATATCTGAAAAAGAACAGATATTAGTGTTCCATTAGTAGTGTTTGGGTCATTTATTTTACTTTAGTTTATGCACTGTACTCTGGAAAATTGTTTTCTTTTCGCAATTGTTGAAGCCGAAGAAATACGAATACAAAACGTTGGAAACTAACGAAGGTCAGACGCATAGCGGCTGCGTTCATTGTGCACAGGTTAAAATATTATAACAACGTTATAGTATTAGTTACTATAGGATTCTGACGATGGTGTATAACACACTGATATGTTGGGTTTTTGGACTTTACTTTAGTGTTTTTATTTGTTATCGTAAAAACCAGGACGATGGATAAAGTCCAAAAACCCAACATATCAGAACGTATTATTATAGCTAATAACGCCTTAATCTTAAGCGGAACACTGAAGAAACCAGCTTTGTTTTTCAGGAATGTAGCGTTGCATACTCCTGCAGAATTTCACCCAATCTACCAATCTTTGTACGATTGGTTGTACTGACAATCTTTGGATTCTGTCAGATTGAGTGGTGTCACAGCCCAGGGTATAGCACCCTTCGAAAAGAGATTTTACTTTTGTTCATGCTGTTTCCAGATAAGAGAACACAGTGTAAAGAACAACATCCCTCCATTTCGTTAAAGTAATCAAAATATAGACGTTACAGAAGTTCATTAACATTTAAAAGTCTCTGATAATTAGATTTCACGAAATTATAACAACAAATAAGCTTGAGGCTGTTTTATAAACATTCATGCAGAGGAGACGTAAATGAGTTCAGAGTTTTACTGATGCGATAGGCTTAATATCCCTATCTGGAAGGGGGGGTGGTTATAGCCCTACGATTCACAGAAGCCGACGAAAAATGAATTCGGTAGCCGGGAGTATAACTGGGCCACTCTGTCACTGGGGGACATTACCAGGGTCTCGTCCTCCAGGTTGCGATTTCGACGTAAGGGTGACGACTTTTCTCTGTAAAGGTATTACTGCTGTGGAATCCCGAAAAGTGAAAACTGGAACAAATGAAGAAGAATTTTGTAAGGAAGGCTACGGCTCAAAAAGTGCTATTTTATCGATTGTGGTGGTGGTTGTAAGGCTAATATGGAAAAATGAAAAGGCTGTGATTTATAAAGAAGGATGTACTTTTATTTTGAGCAAGTAAGTACTTCTGATTTTACGTTTTAACGCAGAACCTTCTTTGGGGACGATTTTAACAACTTTGAAAATCTATGTGTTTTTTCTTCTCGATGAGAACACCCAGGCCGGGATTCGACGAAGTACCATCGGAATATGTCACAGATAAATTGCTCGGTCCAGAAATAGTTCAGGATTTGGAAAAAATGAGAGTTTTGTTCACAGCGCCCGAGTTTCTCTTTACCTTTAAAATACGAAAGAAAGCACTGACAACCCCGACAAGAAAAGTCATCATTCGACCAGTCACAAGGCCGCTGCGTGTGACATGGAGCGTCTTGTGAACGGATCGAATTCCGAAGCCAAATATTAATATTTTATTGAATGAAGCGAATGCTAGGCCAGTGCTTTGACACAGTAAGAGTCACTTTCTATCCAGTCGGCTGCAAGGCCTAGAAGAGCAACATTGATAGGCCTACATAGCCATCAGGGTACACGGCGTCACGTTCCAGAGGGCGTTTTAATATTTACTACAGTAAACTTTCTCAAATATCTTATAATTTGAGGCAGGCCAGACTCTCCTGGCATGTGCGTGAACGAACTGAAAAGAACAGAGTCTATCTCCGGGCCAGGGTTTGAACCAAGGATGTTCAGAATATGAAGCAGAAATATTACTGACTTCGACGATTTGACAAAAATTATATAACCTTGGAAGTAACATGAAATTTAGATGATATTTTAACGCAAATACGTAAAATGTTGTCACGTGTTTCAGTGACTAAGACGCGGATTTGGATTGGTGAACCGGTTTATTGGATCTTCACAAGTCGTGACTACAAAGAGTGCTTACGCTCTCCAGATACTGTAACTACAGCACATGTAACGTCACACACCAAGTCTTCTGATTCTTCTTCTGGCCACACTGCTGTTCCCTTGGA